ACCTAAAAATTTAAACCCTAAATTTGAAAAGATAAAGAAGCCCAATAATTTAATTCACTCCCAAACATGAAATAAAGAGCAAACGAAGATTTGAAATTGTAATAATTTAATTCCCACCCACTCGATTTTGGAATTCACTCCAAATATGAATTCCCATCTTATTCTTCTTCCTAAAAAATGCTCTAAACCCAAAAATGGAACTCCAGATCTTGTTAATATTTCATTCATCCATGAACAAAATTTGTTCAAACCCAAATTATTTTGATAATTATTGAGGATTTTTAAACAACTTAATAATTATTGAAATTTTTAAATTTTGAGAATTTGTTGAATTAAGATAGATTGAATATATATATATTTAGATTAAAACTATTATTATATATAACCTTATCATCATCTTTGTTTTTTTATTAAGCTAAAGTGATGATTACAAAGTAATATATATTCTAGATACTACTCATAATCATTTGATAATAAACACTTAATCCCCTACTGCAGTCGCTAGTGTTCGAACACAAGACCTCTAGGAATAATAATATTCCTTTGACCATTGAGATAATTTCATTTGTGCATATTTTTATTAATCACAATCAAAACTACTAACAAGTGACCAAAACAAAAACAAAACATAATGTTAGGTATAATTTAAAAGAAATATAATTGAGTGACTAAAGGGTTCGTTTGTTTCACGGAAAACATATTCTAAAAAATGATTTCCGTAAAATAAATTATATTAATCTATTTTACGGAAATCATTTTACGGTATTTGAATGAATTGTGTAAATCATTTTCCGCTAGTTGATAATTTTAAAAAAATATTATTTAAATATTGAATACAATAAAAATATTGTTTTAAAAAAATATTTTTAGAATATTGAAATATTTTCTTTAATATTATTTATGTCAATATTTTATGAAAATGTTGTTTTTATAATTTTATTAATAAAATATTAAGAATATATTTTATTAAAATAAAAATATTATAAATTATAATTATTTATTAAAATTAGAGAATTAAATTATTAATTATCAAAATAAGAATATCATTTAATAATTTATTATATTATAATATTAGAAAATAGATATTATTAAATTATTAAAAATATATACTAATAATTAATATTTTATTAAATATTAAAATAATATAATAATAAATATATAACATAATATTATTTTGAGGTGCTTTAAAGTAAAAAGTTCATAAAATAATTTATAGAAAATCAGGATAAATTATTTTTTCAAAAAATACAAAAATATTTTGTTGACAAGAAATAAATTAAATTAATTATCTATTTTTCATCAATTAAATATTATAAAATAAAAAACATATTTAAAAAAAGCAATTACAGAAAATAAATAAACCCTATAAAACAAAAATAGACGAGAGACCAAAGATACAAAAAAAAAAGATAGACACTTGTTCTCATATGTAATGAGGTAAGGGAGAGGTAAGATAGTAGGTTGTCTCCAATATCAGATTGGGGGCAACTTCCGTAGAAGACATCCGAATTATGAAATATCCTCCGTGGGATTCGATCTCACAACTTCAGATTAAAAACCTTATGCTTTACTAACTTAGATGATCATTTAAACAAAAAATACACACCTTACCTAAAAAGTTTGATAAGATAGGCCGAATACGCGCATGCACTTAGGTTTGTTTCATAAAGGAATGATGGATTGGTCGTATGATGACGTGGACGAAGGTAGCCACATCTTATTTTGCTTGGTTTTAGGATACGTTGCGTTGCATCTTCGGCCGTCCAACAATTGACTGTGATCTGGATAGTGAGTGAGGCTCTTTTTATTATTTATAGTATAAATTATAAATTTGATAATTAAATTTTATTTTTTCTCTTATTTTATTTATTATATTTTAATTTTTTTAATTTTTTTATTAATTTAATATATTTAGTTTTTTTTTCACCCAACCGTTAAATAATTAACGATATTAAAATAGTTATTATATAGATACAAAATGACGTATTTTAGGAAAATTATTTTTTAAAATGACATCGTTTTAATACCGTTAATTATTTAACAACAGAATGATCAAAATAGAAGAAAGATTAAAGTTTAATGACAAAAAATTAATGTATTAAGTTAAATGAAAAAATTAAATTTTTAAAATTTAATGAGTAAAATAGGAGAAAGAGTAAAATTTAATGATGAAATATGTCATTTATCCTTATTTGTATTATATTTTATATCTCCAGCTCAGCATAGCCTCGGCTTAACTCTCCATCCAGCCGAGCTCCTTATACAATCCATTAATCCGTTGATATAGATGGTTTATACTTGAATTTGATTTTGTTTAAATACATTAAACTTTTTTAGTTATATTATTTATATTACTAAATCTCTTGATCTTTTATGTCCGAAAAGGGACCTAACCTAACCTCCAATTTTTTTCAAAATTTGATTATCCAAAAAAAAAAAATTCAAAATTTCGCTTTAACCCTTATAAGAGTAAACTATACTAAGGGATAATCGTTTTGCTTAAACTTGACAGATTTCAGACTTATTTTAATTGGGTAGATTTTTTAAGATTGATTAGATCAAATTGAGTTTGAATTTAAGGTGAAAAATTTGATATGATTTGACATAATATTATAATTATCTTTCATAAATTTAATAATAATTACAATGATACAATTTTTTATTTTATTCTTTTCATTTAGATCATTATTTTATCTAATAAAAATGAATTATATATATATAGATCGGGTTGAATTTTGGATCGGATGAGACCACTTTTAAACCCAGGTCGAGTTGGTTGTATTGCAAATGAACCAAAAATCTGACCCGACCCGACCCGACCCGTTGTCATCTCTAACTACACTAAAGATCATTAAATTATATAATATTTTTTATCAGCAATTTTTTTAAATATTATAAAATAATCATTAAATTATTTATATAGTTACAAATGATTATTAAAAATAATATAATTATTAGAAAATCTTCTTTAAAAACTTATTGAACTATTACAAATAGATCATAAACTTATCCAAATTTATTACTATTTTAACATATTAAAGGATCATTTGGTAACAATTTAAGAAATTTAAGTTTAAGAAATTTGCGTTTAGGAAGACGGATAATCGTTTTAACCAGACATAACCAAAATATGAATTTATTTATTCCGACAAATTTTCTTAATAACCAACCGTCAAAATTAAAATTTTGATCGAACCAAAAAAATTTGCAACAATTATAATGGATGGGCACTAGAACAATCTTGGAATTTATTCATAAAAGACATTAAGAATCATGCAATAACTAAACATGTCAGGAATTAGGGGTGAGCGCTCAATCAAGTTGAGTCGAGTGATGAATCATATTTTACAACTTGAAGTTGACTTGAAATTTTTCGAGTCGAGACGACTTTACAAAATTCGAGTTGAATTGAATCGATTTTTCGAGTTTCTGTTTAATTTAATTGTAAATATTTATAATATTATGTATTTTATTCAAATTTAAATGATTTTTATAACCATAAACAATACATATATATTTATTTATATTTTTCATATGTAATATACATAAATTATACAGAGTTGAGGAACTCGACTCAAACTTGAAAATTAATTCACTAATTACTAAAAAATTCAAATTACTATTCGAGTTATTCAAGTTGTATTTTACAACTCAATTTGAATTTGATTTTTTTCCGAGTGGAATCAAGTTTATGAAATTACAACTCGAAGTCAATTTGAGTCGAAAAAATGATTTTTCGAGTTAAGTCGAGTTTTACTCCCAAAATCATGCGATTACAAGAAAAACAAAACATGGGTATGCACAATAATTACAAGGGAAAACTATTTAATACGTAGAATCCAACATGAAGAGTAATTGATTGAATTACTCTAAACAGTCACAGAAGTATGCGATGGAATTAAAGCAAACCGAAGAGTATCGTAAAGTGAACGCAGTAATGTTCATCGCATGCCTAAATGATCGTATTGTTTTTTACTAGTCTAGAATCCTGTGTTGATAAAATATACTTCAAGGGAATTAATCTCCAAATCTACTTCTCTACAACACAGATGCCACATATGTCATGTACAACCTATATTTCCGTGAAGAGTACCGAGCATTTTCCTAAAGTACTTGTTGAAATTCAGATAGCCGTGTACCTTTTTCATCACTAATGAATCCACCACACGAGCATCTTCATCACTTATTCGCACAGCTCCAACTGGAGGTGGCACTGCTGCAGTTGTATTCGAGTCAATTACAATCCAAGGAGCACCAAAATGTAGTCGATACCAACCCCATTGAACAGTCACCGTCACCCAAGATGAGACTGGTGCAGGGCTCGGCATGCCAACTTGGAGATAGTTTTCGCGCAGTGTACCTATATCAACGTATGCTTGATTGAACATCCTTCCAAATACTAACTAGGCCCTTCTAAAGACGAGCGCAGTTTCGAGATCTTAAACTATTTGGAACCAGTTCGACCCATTTATACTTTGCCCTTAACACCTTTACCTACACCTTGTCCACATTAGTCAGTAATTGGAACCTCACTTTCATGATTAAAGCTTTACTTTTACAATATAGTTCTTTGATCGGAAACCCACAAATATTTTGTTTTTTTAAAGGGGAAAATGAGTCAAAAAAAAGTTTGAGACTAAGTTGGTACTCTATCTATAATTACAAGTCAAATTAAAAATTAATTATTTTTAATATCTCATATCATCAAACTTAACACATTTAAAAGTTGAATGATCAAGTTATAATAAATCGATATCGTAAATGAATTAAACAATTTTTCCAAATTTTAACGATCAAATTGGTAGTTTACCATACACGTGCACATATACAAAACCAGCCGACAAGTGAAGTGGGTAAAAAGTTTTGAAAAGTGAAAGTGAAAGGTTGTGGACCTCTGACTTATTTGAGTCAGCTCCCAAGTTTTATCGGCTCGACTCGCAAAAGATATAAATGTGGCTCAGTGGCTTATCGGCTCTCTAAGATGCTTTTTCCCTTTGTTTTCTTTCACCTCCCTCCCGTCCTTTCTCTCTCTCTCTCTCTCTCTCTCTCCCCCATCGTCCACAAATTCCCCTATTTAGCAAATCACGTTTTCTCTGATTTTTCTTCTTAATTTGTGATCTGAATTTCTCCATGGATCTGTGTTTCACTGTTTCTCTTTGTCTTGATCTTCGATCTTTCTTTCCATCGTGAACTCTGGTTCTTCTTTCTCAGTCTTCTTAGGTGAGGTTGAAAGCTAAATTCCATTGTTTACTTCTTCGTTTCTTTTAAACTGCTTACTTTTAGTGCGTATCTATGTGTATGTGTGAATTTTCATCTGCTCTGATGTTGCTTAGTTTATGATCGGAGACCTTTCACTTCTAGTTGTTCTAATTTTTCACCACCTCCTCTGTGTTAGTAGTTTATGAATTATGATTTTGATTTTGCTTGATGAACAGTAGAATTCTTATTGTTGGTAGTGCTTAAGTAATAATAAAAAAGGACTGGTAAGTGGTAAGCAGTAGTATTGCATAGATTATGAATTCCGTTTATGGAATGAAGTCGCGAATCGAAAACGTAATTCGATGAAATGTGAAACGCCTTTTTCAATGGTTAATATATTCATTATTAATTAAAATTATTAAATTTAATGTTTAACAGAATAGTAATTAAATATTCAGAACTTTTAATACGATTGTAAAATAAAATCTCACTGCCATATATAATAATATCTTGCAAGTCCTAAAGCAGAACAAATAATAATCCAAAAAAATAAAATAAAAATATGCTCGGATCAACTTTTCAGAATTTTAACCTCTAATGGCTTGATTTTGCAGATTATATTGCTTTTGAATCGTGCAATCCAGTTTAAAATTTCCAGGAGCGACCAAACTAATTAACTCTGGGAGCTTGGACTGATCTCATGTATCCAAAACTTCAACGAAAGATTTTATTATGCAATCTAAAAACATTTTGGCTACTTCAACCTTAACATTTCCAGTTCACACTTCTGAAGATGAAATTGGGTAATAAGTTATGCACGTGTTCTGTAAATCGTTAATTTCCAATAGACTATTAGTTGTCCTTTAAGAGCATTATGTTTTGAATTTTTCTTGGAATTTTTGTTTTGAAACTATGGATATCATGTTTGATGTTAGTGTTCGCTGAATTTCATTTTCAGGTAAGATGCATTGAGCCTCTTAACACTTCTCAAATTAAAATAGAATTTGATCTTACCATGTCAGATCGCGTTGCAAAATCAGATCGTGATAGTGATGAAACAACTAGGAAATCTATGAATCATTACCAAGCTGCTTGGATGTATCATTGGAGGTATGCAAGGGAAAAGCCGTCCACTGAGGTTCACGGTCATTTGCTGAACTTTCCTGGACCCAAAAAAGTCGATCATGAGGATTCTAAGAAGTATCCTTTCCTTAACAGGACTGAAATGGAAACCAATATTTTGAAATATTCTCATGAAGATGTTTCTGAAGCCAGAACAGATGACACCTTGAAGAAGAGTCTGAAAACAGTTTCAAAGAAGTTGGGTGAAGAAATTTTGGATGGACAGCCTCTTCCACCTTCCACCAATACAGGGAATAGGGAAAGTTCTTTGTCTTTGAAGAATAATGCAGGTACTTTATCTGATATTGAGGCAGTGAGGTATCAAATCGATCTCAATGATGGCCATAATTCTCTTGCGCTGGGTAAAAGTGATGGCTTATATCCTGAAGGCATTTCACGGATTCCTCAGCAGCTGGTCAAGCCTCATGAATTTCTTGAAGAAAACATCTTACCTGTTTCATTGTCTTTTCAGGATGATGTTGGGTCATGTTCTAAAACTGTACCATATGTAATGCGGAGTGCGGTGGCTCCTACACAATCTTTCACACATCAACATGAAAACATTGATAAATCAAGCCCTGTTGTAGCACCCAAAGATCACCTCATGGATTCTAAACTTTGCAGCTATTCTAACTTTTGGGTCCATGAGAAGAAAGCTGATGCCCTTTTCGAATCCAGAAGAGGGGGGAGTTCATTATCCAGGCAGAATGTTGCGCCTCTATTACTGAATGACCAGTCAAGAAACGATAGTCAGAATAAGCAGAGTCAGAAAGTGGAAACTGATTCTTGTATTAGATTGCTTCCAAGCTTGGGTGGTCCTGAGGCAAAGAAATCAGGAAAAGCAGACGATGAACATTTCTTGCTGCCGAGAATACCTTGTTCTGTTCATGATGTCAAGACTATGGGAATATGTACCACTATTGATTCTATGGAAGAACTACCCACAGATCCTTCCAAGATTTCTCAGACAACTCACCAATTTTTCATTACAAAGAAAACTGGTGCTAACTTAACTGAAGGAGGACAAGAGTTCAGAGATACCACAGTCTCTCCCAAATTGAAGGGAAATATGTTCAATGAGTTCCTGGGCTTATCTCCCAGTTTCAGTTTCCATGGTCAGGAAGGAATTAAACTGCAACCTCTGGAGAGCTCCACGGGTAATGAAAGAAAAGAAAATGCTGGGGATGTCGGAACTTCTACTGTTTGTTTAAAGAATGAATCATCAGTTGAAACTGATACGATGGAATTGGATGTGTTCCAGAAGAGCCTTCTTTCAAGTATGTATTTATGTTACCTCTGTAATCACAAAGGGAATGGAACTGCATATTTTAAAATTTACATCAGAATGATTATAAACTTACTCTTAGAAATATCTGTGAACTGAGTTACTTTTATATTTACTTGGTCTTTCAGTATTCATGTTCATATTTAATAAGCTTATTTATGTTGCAGGTGTGGCTTTCTGTCCATCGGACCAGGTAATTCTTTTCATTTTTCTGTTATACCATGCTAATAGCAAAATATGTAATCAGATCAAATGAAGCTTTAAGGAAGGCACTTTTTGGATGATTACTTGTTTGAACCAGTTATATGAACAATATGTTCTTGATATTTGTTAGGAATTCTGATTTAAGTTCTGTTTGACCCGAAAGTTTGCTTGTGACCCGTTTAGTGAAAATTTAAACTTGGGAGGAAATAGGGGATTATTTGGTTAATATGGAGTTTCTTGAGTTGAAGGTCCGGAACTGTAACCCAGCACTGATCTTGCCGGAGTGCGGGGGTGGAGCCCCCATGGTACAGTAAAGTTTATTTTCTAGTTTTTTTTATATGTGCGTGCACTTATAAACATGTACCTAGCGTTTCCACAGATTGTGTGAGAGATAGGTGTTTTGTGCCAATTTGTGCTCGTGTTGCGGTTATTGTGATTTTCGAAACCCCTCTCAAAATTCTCTCTTCTCCCCATGGTTTTTTCCGTTTGAGATTTTTCACGTAAATCTATGTGTTTTTACTTTGCAATCTTGTTTGTTTGCTTGTCATTATCTTTTCGATTTTGTAACAATATTCTATACATTGAGTGTTTTCTCGAAAACTGGTTTTCTTTGGTCATAAATACTAATTAATTTTGCAGAACATCAAGGGAGTTCATACATTATCTGAAACTGAGAATGCTACTGGAGAAGCTAGGAACAAAACTAACAACATTGAATTACCTGACATGAATGATGGGCTTCCTGCACTTCCTGCTGCGGCAAACTCGATGAATGATGGAATGACAAGCACCTCAAGAACCCAGAGTTTAGATGCAGATCATCTTCTTTGCTATGCTGAGCAGCCTGCTAATTCCAATACCACTGCTTGTCCAGATGGTGTTTTGGGGCCAGTTCCAAGCAGCAGATGGGTTAAACGTCTCAAGTTGAACACTTCAGATCCTTTTGCTTTTGGTACTAAGAGCTCTAGAATAGGGGAAGTTTCATCCCGTGAAAAGATTAACAAGATCAGCAAAATCATGAACTGCAGCGGGACGAGTTCAGAGTCCACAGTGGGTAGAAGCTATGTGAGACCAAAACTGGCACTTGATCAAACTCCAGTGCTATTAAAGAACAAGGACTCCACTTCCAGTGGTTCAGTGAGGAAAAGTCATGAAATATCTCTTTCACGTGCTTGGATTCACCGATGGTGTCGTAACAAAGATGCACCCCGAAACAAGAAGCCTGATGCTGCAGTGCTATGTGAACCACAGAGCTCAAAGGCAACTTCAGATGAACTCCAAGAGAAACAATTTCCAAGCATTGCAGCCATGGCTTTGATGGGGAATGCCGTGAACGGTTTTCATCCTTGTGAGTTTAGAAGAAAGGGGTCTTTGATAATTTGGAATACTTGAGAGATTTGGAGGCAATTCTGGCTAAAACCATCCATGCTGGAAAAAAACAAGATGACCTTTAGGTGATGCCAGTAGTGTTAGTGGTTCTATTTCTTTGGGTTATTTTTGGAAGGATGCTACATAGGCCTTGTCTTGAATGAGCACTCGGACCAAAGATCAAGGAGACAATCTCAACAACTATCATCTTTTCTTGCAAGTTCGAAGAACACTCCATTTGGAATGTGAATCTTCATAGATTAGAGTTAAGTTTTGTAATAATGAATCGGGTACGTGTTTGTCATAAATACCAAAAAGATGGAAGGAGTGGTTGGTTATTTTGTATTCTGTGGATTGAGTGCTTTTGAAATTTACTACTAGCCTAGGAACATCAACTATTTCAGTAATGTAATGGCCTAATGTGTGTATCAAATATGTGTCCGGTCTAGAGGATCATTTCCATATATTTATGTCTGAAAATGGGTTGGACGTGGGTTCCTGAAATATGAAAAGTTTGTAGCAACATAGCTAATGGCTATTAGTAACATCGATTAACCTACTTTATTGGAAGAGGTCAAGATTTAGAGCAAGTGAAATGTGCAATGAATGTTTAAGGTGCTGTGGTTAGCTGGTTAGAGATATAGAGACGTTCTGGTCCGATAATATTCATTTGACCCTTCTATCTTATCAGTTCATCACGATAATTTCACTTGTTATTCGATTTTTGATTGCTCAAGCTCGCATCATATACATATACTATGAGATGGACCAACATTTTCACTTCTCTTGGTTTGTTCTTTGTCTCTTATAAAATAACGATATCTATAAATGTATCCTAGATGATCTGGATTCAAGCAAATGAGTCTGAAAGGTGTGTATGCGTTGTCAATTGACTAAGAAAAGTTTTGAACAAATATTATCTTATAATCACCCTATAAAACTTAAAAAAAGGACCACATTTAAGGCTCCAGAACAAAGATATAAAACAATGACGTCCCCTTGGCCTCAATTTCCTCAATATGACAATTAAGATTTATGCTACTAAACAACCATATCGACCGGACCTACCAAACAAATCTACCAAAGCTGAGTAGCCAATTGTGTTGAAAAGTATCAACTAAACCATAGTAAATACAAGAAAAGTAGTCCCAGGTAAAGTTTAAAACAAAATTAAAAGGAAAATCATTTTTCAAAGTCAAACTCAATTACTTTTTGGAACTAATTAAGCCAAAGTATAGGTAAAGATCTAGGAGTTTGTAGCCCTAGTGTAAATCTGCTGGCTAGAATGTGCAGACACCAACCTAATCAACCCTCTAACAATCAACTCCCGTATTGCCTTCCTCGCCAGTGATCCATTAATCTGTCGAGTGATCGCAAAAAAAACATATTAGAGTTCGACACAATAGCCAACTTTCAGTCGTGCATGCATCTTGAAGCAAACATTTTATAAAAGAAAGTCAACCTGATTACCAGACACATTCAAACTTTATAACCAAGGATGACCTGAAGGGGGGCTGGCAGGGGCAGTCCGGAAAATTTCAAAATTTCTTTTAGTTTAGGCATTTTCTTTATATTTTCTATTGATAATATGTTTTTAACCCATCAAATTTTATAAGTTCTCCCCTAGCATAAAATCTTGTGTCTTTGCCTGTCTTTAACACAGGCATATTAATATCAACATATTGCTTTCTGTAACATCTATATATATATATATATATATATATATATATATATATATATAGTTTGGATTGCCAATGAGGGTTAAGAGATTGTAAGCTGAGAATAAACAACTTCAAAGTAGGTTCCCATCTAACCATGCAGCAGTCACCATGGATTCAACACTAAAAAGTACCATCAGATATCTCAGATAAACTCGTATTTCCTAGAAAAAGGAGCAGGGCAGGGCAACAAGACTAGGCACAATCGAACAGACCTCAATAAAAAAATAAAATCAAAACCTAACATTATCACAAAATGCAAGAGCAAGGCAAACATCGTGCAAAGGGAAATTTAACAATCAAGAACAAATAACACAGAATGAGGCAAAAAGAAAGTACCCTCAAACGATCAGAGAGGATTGAAGGAGTGATAAGCTTGTATTTAGGAGCTTCAGAGAGAAGTTTGTCATAGGTAGCTTGATCAAACAGCACCATGTTGTTCACCTTCTCCTTTTGCTTTCCCTTGCTCCACTTCTGTTAATACAAAAAAAAACCCAATTTTTATTTAACTCCAAAAAGCAGAAAAACAAACCCCATTATATATATAAAGAAGAGGATGATGACCTTCTTCTTCTGCTTTCCACCTCCAGACTTGCATTCTAAAAATAAATCAATGATATAAATTTCGTATCATTTGTTAATATGTCTGTATGAACCTTTTCTCTCAAATGAAATAATCTTGGATTACAAGTTAACCTCAACGGTTAATAATTATTTCTTAATGATTAGGTTACAATTAATAAATTTAATTTAGGTTGAACAATACAGCTAACCAACAGTGAAAACGCTCACTGAACAATTGTTTATTGATGATGCGAGTCTCAATACCTACCATTCATTGTTTTTTTTATTATCCGGTGACTTTGTCAGGATTGCTGAAATGCGTAGATGGGTTATGGTTGAGCTGTGATGATGAAAGGATAATAGTGTTCACAACGAACCACAAGGGCAGACTTGACCCAGAGTTCCCGATGTGCAGATCCACATGTCCTAAACTCCATTTGGGTTCACAGTGTTGGCTTCCAATTACCTCAGGATAACAGAGTAGCCACGGTTCATGGACATCGAGGAATTGCTGAAGACGACGAAGGTAACCCCTGCGGAAGTGGGTGAGCTGTTGATTAAAGACGGGATTGAAGCATGTTCCAGGGTCCAATTCAGTTTTTGAAACCAAGCTAAATGACAGTCGAGAAGATGCAGCTGCCGGAACAAGTCCAAGCAGTAGAAGATGAAGAGCTAAGAACAGAAACGGAAGATCTACCAACATTAATCATTTTAATTGTTGGGACACTGAATAGGCTTTACTTAAAAACCAACAGTTCATTGAATGAAAATTCATGCACATAATACATACTAATCCAATTTCAAGCCTCAAACAAGCTTCTATTCTTTTATCAAACTAAAGACCTGCAAAAAACCTCATGTGATCTTCAAATGTTTCCCCATGCCGTATCTTGGTCACTGATCCATCTTCTTCAACCTGAAACCATTAGTTTGAAATCCTAATTTATCTTCTTCTCCTTTTCAGGGAAATCATCATTCAACGACTATATGCAGAAATTTTCCTTTAGCAATCAAGTTTAACACGAACCCATGCTAAGAAATGATCATGCTGATGAGGGTGTAATTGCTGATTTGAAAATGAACTTGCTATAAATAGAAAACAAGGTTAAATTGTGTTACCCAGTACTCAGGTGGGCGCATCTTGAGATTGTAAGTTGATGCCATGCTCATGCAGTAAGCACCTGCATCGTGCACAACCAGGCCAGTCCCCTGCAAAAATAGAATCTTGATTAATCCAGATAATTGATACTCCAATCAGTCCATTATATAGATAAAACTGGATACCCTAGCTGGGGTGGGAAGTTCTCTCTCCTTTCCCAAGAAATCCGCGGATTCACAAACAGGGCCAACAATATCAAAGGTAGAAACCTCTGCATCAGGAGGAGCAGGAGAAACCAACTCTATATGCTGCAATCATATATGAATGGGTTTATTGAAACAGTATGGATATAAATTAATGATTTAGAAGAACAGAACAAAACTCTAGGGTTATAATTCATATCTTGAAAAGTTCAACTATTTGGTCCCAAGTTCAATGGACTGCACCTAGGACAGAAGCTTCGTTAAAACCAACTGCTAGGTAATTTTGACTGTATTTGCATGTTCATGAAAGCTAAACTTGTTGGTTGATGATTGGAACCGATGATACTTACTTGGTAAGCACCATAAAGACTAGGACGGATAAGTTCAGCCATACTGCCATCAATCACAATGAAATTTTTGTTCCATTAGTTTTGACTCCGGTGACACGATTGACTAAGCAGCAAGTATTTGCAATGAGTGATCTCCCTGGTTCAATGATGAGATTAAGATTTCTTGAAACTACCAATTCCCTGACCTACAACAACCAACAAGTCAAAAAAATAATAATAATATTAGCCAAAATGAACACTCCAAGCATATCAATATCGGTGCTTCATATATGAAGTATTAAAAACCATTAAGTGGCTGCTATAGAATTCCTATTTCTTCCACCAGCTAGCCAAAAAAATTCATGCATGAATAAGCCAACCATGGATGTTATGACAACAATTTGGAAAATTTACAGGTCTGAGCCTTACAGTGTCAATGAGATTTCTAGGTGTGGAAAGGACGGCACCGCTATGGTAGTAATCTATCCCCAAACCACCTCCAATGTTCAAATAATCAATTTCAAACCCTTGGGCACAAATTTCATCAATGTAATTGACCATAAGTACAGCAGCATCCCTGAATATGTCCACCTGAAGAACAATACATGAGAGTTTCATTAGAACATGATGAGCAATTCATGAAATAGATTCAGACAAACAATAATGTAACACACAAAATAAAATATGTTGACAGACTGATAGGATAATCCAAGAAACAACTTTTGTAACAATCAACAAGTACGAGTTGCTCCAGCATCAGTTAACTTGGTAATCCGAGAAGTATTGGGTTAACCACAGAAACCTACCCTCAAATTCCTCTCTTGCCAGATTTAACTAGCAAGGCAAATAAATAAACTTAATGTTGTTGATACCTTGGTAATGGTAGAACCAAGATGACAATGGGCCCCCACAAGCTTCAGTTCATTAGGGTGTGCTTTTACAGCATCCAGAAACCACTTCAGCTTCTCATTCCTAATACCAAATTTAGAGTTCTTGTTTCCAGTAGCAACATATGGATGAACCTACAGAATAATAGCAAGTCATAAACAAAACTAATTAATATTCAGTTGAAAAGCATGCTCTTGGTATCAAGTCTATCTTAAGCCTTCAATGTCCTCCCCTAGAATTAATGTAATCCTCAAAGCTAGGTTTAAGTTGTATTACCAAAAAGGAATCATCTTAAGTAAATTTAATAGCCATCCCATCATGGATCATCAACTTGAGAGCTGAGAGTAGTCTGCAGTAGGCAGATGGATTCAAGCTAAGGAACAATAATCTGGTTCTTGAGTACACTAAAACTGGTGCAAGAGAAAAATGGGATAAAAAGGCAGCCATGAGGTGGTTTAATGGAGAGAGAATCGTCATGGAAATGAAGATTAGATGATAGAGGTTAAAATACGCATGCTGGTTTTCCGAAAATTGGGTTGAAATTTCTGTTGATCATACTTCAGTAAACCAATATGTAGTACTATGAGAAAGCCATGTATAGCAGCAGAACTAGGTCCTCATGCACCATATAATAATTACACCAGAATGCAAGTTCCATGTTTT